TTAATTGTCATTCTACGTTTTTGCACACAGATTAAGGAAACATTTAATTTTACATATTTTCAAGATAAAAACACAATTACCTATACACCTAACCACTTTTCAACCAATAGAAAAATAGAATATTATATAAAACTAATAATTTTTGTCTCGAAACTCTAAAACAACACTTAATTTGTGACAAAAAATTAGTCCTAGAATGACAAATATTCTGAAACGGAGGGAGTACTTGTTTTTATTTCTTTTTATATTTCAATTTTAAAAACATAATTTAACTCGACAATATTTTGTTTTCTTTTTTAAAAAGACACTGAATATAAATAACGTAATTATATTGGTTGGTAAACCTAAAGGTTCACTCTAGGGGGTGGATCCAATAATTACTCCCTTTGAGAAATTCTTAGGTTCACCCCCTAGGGTGAACCTCTGCGTTTACCAACCAATAGGATTTAATTATTTCATATTAAGTATCTTTTAAAAAAAGAAATAAAATATTATCGAGTTATATTATGTTTTTAAAATTAAAAATAAAAATAAATAAATAAATAAATAGTAGTAGTTGCAAACAAAACTAATTTTAATACCGTCAGCAGAATAGTAAACCCTAAATCCTAAACCCTTGGGTAAATCCTTAACCCTTGGATTAATCTTAAACCCTAAGAGTTATGATTAATCCAAGGGTTTAGAGTTTACCCAATGGTTTAGGGTTTAGGCTTTTGGATTTAGGGTTTAGTGTTTTACTGACGGTATGAAAAATATTTTTTACGCAGTCAAGGATTTATCCAAGGATTTAGGGTTTACATAAAGGTTTTAAGGTTTATGATTTATGGTTTAGTGTTTTGATAATAGTATTAAAAAGAATTTAAGTTTTTTTTTTTTGTAACTACTATTTTTTTTTCTTTAAATTTTAAAAACATAATCTAACTCGAAAATATTTTGTTTTCTTTTTTAAAAAATACGGAATATAAATAACGTAATCATATTGGTTGGTGAACATAAACGTTCACTCTAGGGGGTGAACCCAAGAATTACTCCCTTTGAGAAATTATTGGGTTCACCCCATACGGTGAACCTCTAGGTTTACCAACCAATCGGATTTCATTATTTCATATTAAGTATCTTTAAAAAAGAAAAGAAAATATTATCGAGTTGTATTATCTTTTTAAAATGAAAAGATAAAAATAAATAAAAAATAATAGTTGTTGCAAACAAACATATTTTTAAAACTGTCAGCAAAACAATAAACCCTAAACCCTTTGATAAATCCTTAACCATTGGATTAATCTTAAACCCTAATTTATGATTAATCTAAGGGTTTAGAGTTTACCCAATGATTTAGGGTTTAGGCTTTTGTATATAGGTTTTAGTGTTTTACTGACAGTACTAAAAATATTTTTTTTAAAGTCAAGGATTTATCCAAGGGTTTATGGTTTACAGAAAGATTTTAAGGTTTAGTATTTGGGGATTAGGGTTTAGTGTTTTAATAATAGTATTAAAAATTAAGTTTTTTTAAAACTACTACTTGTTTTTATTTATTTTATATTTAAATTTTAAAAGATAATAAAACTCGACAATATTTTGTTTTTTTTTTTTAAATATACTGAATATAAAATAACATAATCATATTGGTTGCTGAACCTAAAAAGGTTCACTCTAGGGAGTTAACCCAAGAATTACTCATACTTTTTTTAGTATAAAAAAACCCTTCAAACTTCGTGCATTTAGTATAATCGCTTTGCAGCACAAAACAAAATTCTAAAGTTGGACTTAGAGCATCTCCAAAAGACTCTCTATAATTTCAAATATAGAGTTTTTGCTCTTCAAAACTTCAAATTTGAAGCTTTGGGGACTGAAACTTCATATTTGAAATTTCACTTTTCAAAACTTCAAATTTCAAGTTTCATCTTTTTATTTGTAATTTGGTCCTTATATTTACATATCTTATTTAGGATTCTTAAGTATTTTCTTATTTATCATTTTAATCTTTAAAAAAATTATATCTCACAAATGTTAAATTTATTTCTATAAATTAAGCTTTACACATAATTTTGAAGTTAGTTTTGAAGTTTTTCTTTTGGAGAAGATCACTTTGAAACTTCAAATATAGAGTTTGTAAAACTCCAAAATAGAGTTTCTTTTTGGAGATGCTCTTAATACAATTCATATGTCAAATTAGTTCTTGAAACATATTTTCCTAAATACCGTCACCACAACTGCTTTCTCTTTATAGAAACTCAAATCGTTAGGATTGATGTTGTGTCCAGCATTGTTCGAAAATAATAAGGTCTTACGTATAATGAAACCATAAGGCTGAAGCTATGCTTAGAATTGATGCATCACTAAATCCATCCATGTGGCAACAATTGTAGTTTTTCTTAAAATTAAAAAAAAAAAAAAATCATTTCCGTTTCATATAAACTGAGTGATATTAGTAGCTCAAATTTGTAGCATTACAACTGTCCAAAGTGGCCCAATATTCTTGGTTTTGTATACATTTAGATCTGCTTAGATTCGAAAGAAAGTGACTAACACGTGAATGCTATATATTTCAACAACAATTTCTAGCAGGGATTTCAGTCTTCTTTTTGCTTTTTACATTGTGCGGTAGAACTTTTTATTCTGACCCTTTATTCATCTAATTTTTAAATTCCTATGATTCGGTAAATATGTATATAGATACCCCAAGACAATAAATCAAATAACAGACCAAAAGTAAAAATGGAAATAAAGATATAGAATAGAAAGGAAAAGAGCTTTTAGATGGTTGGTTCTAATACGAAAGACACGAAGAAAGTCATGTCTTGTCGATTTTGACAGAAAGTGTTTCAAGTTTCAACCCACATTGATGGGCGTGATTTGATCTTCAAATCATGAATCTGTTTATTCAGAACAGCTTTGATCTATACGACTATATGTAGCATACCTGTACTCTAGCTTTTGTCCTTCGTTTCTTGTAGGTCTAAGCATATAGAAACCCTACGAAGAATCTATAGACCAAATCTTACACTCGGAGATAGCACTATTCTTGGATGAGTATGTTTCATGGTTTTTCACCGTGTTTTGAACGGATGGTCAATAGAACTGATCGAGAAACTACATTACCATTCCGGTTTTGTTATTGATTTAAACACGTTAAACACAACGAATGTTTAATGCTGTACAAAAAGTAAATGACAAATATGTAAAATATCTATAATCTATACGAGTAAAAGACAATGCTTAATATACACCAACTGTCGGTGGATTAACTGTGGAGTATGACCAACTATGTTACATGGCCTTTGCTAAATGAAGTTATAGCAACAATTTCAATGTAATGGTTGATCCCTCGTCCTCACGAAATGCTGGGAGGTGTTAAAAGGCTAGTTCCATTGATGCTGCACTTTAGCAACTATTTGATATTTTGAATCAAACCCAGCTCAAGGTGCTTGTTTTGGGTCAAAACCTACATAATTAACAAAGACAATCACTTCTTTTGAACGTAATGATAAGCACCATATTCTAAATATCTTCTAGACATGGACACGTTCTCAATGCATCAGACAAAAAATATATGCACTGAGAATATCACTATTTGAAAGAGAATCGTAGATTATCTTTCCAATCTTAAACAACTCTGAACCATCCATAGCTAGACACAAAATAGGAATCTCAATATTGCCTACTTGTCTTCAAGCTAGGACCAATACCCTTATAACCCAGCTACGATCATTAATGTAAGTTGTCTAAAAGTGTGCCTAGTAACTATAGTTGTGGATTTTATAGAGAGGTAACTTTTCGACTCTCTTTTTTTTTATTTTTTAATAGATAATTGCGAATATATTGATGTTATCATTCTAAAGACTTGTCAATTATATTTCTTGATTTAATTGAATCTCTTGCATTAGCTGAGACTTGCAAAGTTGCAAACTAATAAGAATCTAACCCATAGAAAAGAAAAAAAGTTATAGATGTCATTGTGATCACTGAGAAACATTCTTGTCAATTTATGTGTGGTTTTCGATCATCTAGCAATAGCATATTGAGTTGTTGATATAATCAATATATTTGGTAAACATGCTTTACTTTTTCTTGCCAACTGCCTATATGTTTAAACCAAGTTTTGGTCGGTAGAAATGTTATTCCGAAGAACAACTCAATCTGACCATGTCTGGTTTACATGGGCTCTCATCATAGCTTTCTTTGCTAGTGCATCCGCACAAATATTTCTCAGCTTTACTTTGTTGCATTTGATTTAACAATAAAAGTATAGGGATATTTAGTGATCATCAAAATAAATAAAACTTCAAAAGAAAAGGTTGTGAAAAGATATAATAGGCAAAAGAAGGTGAGGGTGAAGAGAGAAAAGCAAGGAATTAATGTACTCTTAGAAGTGTACCTTTGTGTACAAACTATAATATATGTGGGAAACTAATACCATCCACATATTGTTCTAGATTCTACAGCTGGCTTCAAATCTTTGTTCTTGCTTAATTAATCTTAATGTACGATCATGTCGTTCTTGTTAGTTGGTATCTATATTAAAATGTATCAAAGTTGATAAAACAAAAAAAAAGTTACATATTGGCTACGAAAATCCATAGTCCGTTTTCAGATTTTGTTAGACTAAGGACTTTGATTTTGCCATTTTGCGAGGGTTGCACAAGCATAGCAGCTAAACTTTCTTAACAAACCGAAAATGTATTATTGTGAAGTTATTATTAGTGCAAGTCCTTCCCAGAGATCGATATATACATGAAACAATAGTGTAAGATCTTAATATCCGAATCATATTAATGTAAATATCTTAGTACTGCGTGCGTCTCTTGACATGTTCTTGATCATATGTCACTTATATAGGAATTAATGCCTTTGTTAGAGAGTATAGTTGACTTAATTATTTATAGGGATCGTAATATACAATGAAAATTTGCATGTTATGAACTTGTCAAGGCTATTTATACTATTAATTGTAGAGAATGGCTTTAAACTTTTAAGCAAACAAAAAAAAAGGAATGGTTTTAAATTACATATAATGCATTTTATAAACAAATCATCATAAGGACACACAATTACGAACATAAAAGAAAAAAGGAATATACATAGAACCAAACTAAATAAGCTATTGGCATTCTTTCATTAATCATCATCATGATTATGATGATGGCTAGTTATGATGAGACTGGCAAGGAGGGAGAGTTTGGCACTCAGACTCAGTGACACGAGAGGCATGAAACTTGGCGATGAAGGCGGAAGCTTTACGGTCAATACCTGGCTCAGCCACCCAATAACGCTTGTCCTCGTCGCTGGCCCATGCCTTTCTTGTGTATACGCCGTCGTCCCATGCGTCTGCTTCAACTCTATGAGACGACCTTCGTGATTTAAAGAAGCTGAAGAGCGAGAACTTCTTTCGGCTGCTTCCACCCATTAGATGGTACAAGAACACGCCAATATTCAAGAAAATATAAACTTCAAGTTTGTGTAAGTTTGATGTGTTTTGTGGAGAGATGGGTTTTGCGGATGTATTTATAGGGTGACTGAGCAAAACAGCTTCTTGTGGGAGGTTCTTTTTGTCCGGTTTGGTTCGAATCTTGGTTGGTTCTATTTAGAAATGATCAAAACGCATTAAAGTTTCTTTTTTTTGGCTAAAATTTTGGGAGAATTAAAGTTTTGTTCAGTATTGTAAGCTACATTGTCGGACCAACATGCTTTTATGTGTCGCTTGCAATTATTTGGACCTATTTTTTTGTGGGATTTTTTGTCGTTGATTTTTATTTCCTATATTAATTTGGAGCATTACAATATTTAAGTTTAGCCACATGTTATCATTAGGA